AAGGGGGAGAAAATGTGTGGATGGCTGAAAGCGGCTGCAAGAAAAAGGAAAAACATGTAGCCCGCAGCTTCTAATTATAATCATATAATGTAATCAATTATTATTATTATTCATTATTATTGTTATTATTCTATGGAAAATGTTTCACTTTATGTTGTCTCTCTTTATTTTGAAGATTGTTTAAGTTGTAATTCTTGGCTTTTGGATTATTAATATTCGGAAATGCTATGGTCCCGTTACGGTATCATCCCGTCGAGTGGTTTAACCGTTGATTAATGATGTTATTATGTAGGTCTAATTGGTTGGTTGTTTTTTTATATTAGACTAGTCTAATACTTTATTTTACAATCTTATTTATATGTTAGACAGTCTAAAGGTTATACAGTTGGTCTTTTTAACATATATATGAACATACTTTTCACTCTCAAATGTCATATTTAAAAATACTACACAAAAAAAAAGTATAACATTTATGAATATACATTTTACATAAGAAGCAAAGTATGAATGCATAACGATTACACTGTAACAGGTAACTGGGTAAGGGCGTAAATGAGTCGAGCTCAACTCGAGCTCGAGATCGCGCTTTTAAAAAGTTGAGCTCGGCTCGACTCGTTAACACAACGAGCTATTGTAATCAAGCTTGAGCTCGGCTCGTTTATCAATATTAACGAGTCAAAATTGAGTCGAACTATAGAAATGTACATAATAATCATATTTTCGAGCCTTACCAAGAACGAGCTTTAAATGAGCTCGAACTCGAGCCTTAACAAGTCAAGTCGGGCTCATGAGCGTTAACAGCTCTAGCAGCATTTGTATTATTTCAAACGATATCTATTATTATATAAAGAGGGGAGCCAAAAAATCCTTAAAGAGCAACTAAAAAATAATTCAAGTTACCGCCAAAGAATTTATTAGATATAGTAACTTTCTGTTTGAAATTTTTCATTTGCCAAAAAATTCAAATTCCCGATTTTCATGAGCCAATATTTGTGGATTGTTATCAGATTTTCATGTGCCAATATATGTGGACTCTTATCAGATAAGTTTATGTATTTTTAAAATCTTATCATATTTTCATTGACTCTTATCAATAACTCACACTATTAATATAAATAATAGATAATAGAATTGACAATTATCAGAGAACGTGAGGGTTTTCATCGCCGCGAACGTAAGGATTTGTGTGATAGTTAAGCTTATCTCTCCATATCAAGTTTATGCTTTATCTCTACCTCAATAGATAAGACACGTGCTTATCTCTCACACAAATCCATCTTCATATATATATTTTCAATTGCTTATAGCATCATTTAATAACTGATGGTAAAATCTTCACCAATTCTGTCTTCTTTAGTTTTTTTTTTTATATTTCTTCTATCATCCGTTTAATACCGATTGTTTCTTGATGTTTTAGGAAAACTAACAAGAACAAACATGCTAGATGGAGAATTAAGAAAAAGAGAAAGCATCAGTCCAGGTTGTCGTCATCTAATTTGCTTTGTCCATATTTCTTTTATTTTCTGGCTAATATTGTCTATCATTCATTCAAAACTATACAAATATTCACTAAACAATTATCAATTATAATTAGTCATTTATTGTCTATTTTCAGTTCTACCAGCATGATATTTGAGGGATATTAACAAGAACAAATATACATAATGGAGAATTCGGATGCCAAACGATGCTGAAAAAGTAAAGGGCAGACGAGTCACAAACGTGAAAACATCATTCCAGGTTTTTAATGAAGCAATAAGTTTACATATTGTTCCAAGTATTTTTACCTGTATACTTACTGTGTA